AGATGACAGGCGCCCCCTCCCTCCAGGGCGTGCCCCGTCGCCCCCAGCACAGGCCATGTTAGCCCTCACCCCCCTCGGGTGTCACCTCCTCAGGAGGCCCTCCTGGCTCTGCTGAACCCCAACCCACCCAAATGCCTTGCCTCGGGGTGTCTCTTGTCCTCATGGCCCTCGCCTGCCACGCTGAAGCTGCATTTACAGCCGTGTTGCCCGAGAGACGGACGGAGTGCTCTCCGGGACGCAGAAGGCTGCTTCATTCCCCTCTAGCCCCGGCCCCCGGCCTGCCCCTCCGTCGATGTTCTGGAAATATTTCCTGAACTGAGCGCAAACTTGATGAATATTTACACTGTACTACATGCCCACGATTCCGCCTGGCACCAGAAACTCCTGCTCAGAGAGAAGTGAGACAGGTCTTCCCGAGAGGGGCTCACACTCGTGCCTATAACACTCCTGTTTATCGGGGTCGGCCACCCCTGCCCCCGTGTCGGGCTCCAGGGCAGGGCAGGGCAGGCAGGGAGACCACCCAGAGCTGGGTCCCTGCGAGCCTGCGCCAGCCCGGAGGAGGGAAACCCCCGCTGGAAACAGGGGGTCTGGGGGTCTGCGGGGGCGCCGCTGGCCCAGCCTAACAATGGCCGACCGTGACCGGGGAGGCCCTGCCGTGGTCGCTGCCAGTTTAGTAGTGTCTGCCCAATGGACGTGAATTTGTGAACCCTGCGGAGAAGCAGGGGGCCACATCTCCTCCAAGGGCGGCAGGCGAGAATCCCCTCAGCCCGGGTTCTGTGGACCTGGCCCGATGTGCCTCCGCCACTGGGTGTGGGCAGGCTGGGCCTCCATCCCTCCCCAGGCTGCTTCTCTGCCATCCAGTCTCCTCTCTCAGAGAGCTCCTGCCCTTGCCGGCCGGGGCTCCCGTGCTCAGTGCCGAGAGAGCAGGGCTGGGAGGGAGGCCACGGCTTGTCCCTCGGCTCTGCCTCCACTGGACGTGTGTGTGGTCTTGGACTTCTCTGGGCCTCCCTTGGTTTCCTCCTCTGTCGAGTGAGGACGGTTACCCGGCCATGCCTTACAGGAAAATGAATGAATGTGGACAGAAGGCTTTGCAAAGGGACAGTTTCTTGTTTACAAGGCAGCGTTATTATTGTGCAGGTGCCCCAAGAAGAGGGTGGCAGGGACCGCTTGGGTAAGGCCCCTCCCCCAGCAGAGCCGGGCAGCAGGGACCTGCTGTGGGTAGGCGGGGTCTGTCAGCAAAGCCACCCCACGGAGGCCCCCCGGGGCTTGCTGCTGTCAGAGCCGCCCCATGCCCACCCCTTGAGCCCAGAATCATCTCACGGGGCAAAGAGGGGATCACATGGCCTGGCTCTGTTCTGAGGGTCCGGCTGCCAGAGGTCCTGTTGATCCTCACCTGGTGGCAGCAGAAGCCCACCTCCTCTGCTCCGGGGACACCCTGTGGGTGCCACGCATCCCTGTACCTCACGCGAGGCATGTAACCACAAACAAAAAAGTGCACAAATCACATCTGGACAGCCCACTGCATTGTCACAAAGTAAGCTCCTCCAAGACCCAGCACCCAGATCAAGAAACAGAACATGGCCAGCAGCGCAGGGGCTGTTGAAAACACAGAACCAAAACCAAAACACAACTTGGGGGCACTGCAGGAAGTGTCCCCCACATGTCTGAGATGCCAGCCCTGTTACTGCAAAGCGTCCTCCCATCCTAGCCAAGTTGCCAGCTCACCCAGCAGGGGCCCACGGCATGTCCTCGGAGCAACGCAGACCCCACAGAGCCCACCTGTGTTCCAGAGCTGGCTCACGAGGACTCCTGCCTTCTCTTCCCAGACAGGGGTCCCACGGCTCAGCCCACCCTGCCCCTCCGCTCCCCAACCTGCCCACTTCAGGGGTAGCTATTTAAAAGGCAGGGTGGACTGCTGGCCAGGCTCAGAGTCAAGGGATGGGTGGGTCATGTGCTCCTGTCTGGTGTTGTCCTAACTCTTCCCAGAACCTTCTGAGGACCCCGTCAGCACCCACCCAGCGGCCCGCTCCTGCCTACCCCTAGGGGAGCTTTTCACACTCAGGGGAAGGTTCTAGACCAGTTCGTGGCCTTGGTCTGGGGAGAGGACAAGTGCAGCAGACAGACAGGTGAGCCAGTGTCCTGGGCACGGCACCAGGCTCTGACTCGGCCACACTTGCCACCAGCCCTCTTTGCCCTATAACCTCAGAGGTCTGTCCACCTGCTTCCACAGGGGGTGGGGGCCGCCGGCTGGCACCAGCTGATTGCTATGTGTTCAGGAGTTTGCAAGTGGACTGTGAAACGCAGCCATCATTAAAATTTAAATTACACAAGCTTAAAATTAAATAAACTATATTAAGAATAAAGGTAACACTCAGAACTCATCAATTTCTAATTATTTTTATTACATGTTACTATTATCTATGCTCGTGAGGTTACTTACACCTATTGCACACTTACAGTGGGAATGCCTGGAATTGTGGGGGACTGTCTGTCTTCCGGGCTCCCTGCCCTCCCCGCCCTCTGCGCCTCTGGGCTCTGACACCCAGGCCAGGCAGGAAGAAGCCCCTGCATCCCGGACCTTCCCACCAGCTAGCTGGGCAGCTTGCGGGTTCCTTCTCTGAGGGTTTTTGTTTTACCTAGCCCCAGAGCTCTTAGCTACCTCTGAGCACTGGGGAGGAGCAGGAAGACGCAGACACGACCAGGTCTGAATCCTCCCCTGCCCAGGATCTTGGGCCCGGTTAAGGGGATTGAAAGAAGGCAGAGCGACCCGGCAGCAGGGCCCTCCACCTACCTGTCAGAGCTCTGCCCCGCGGGTGCGCCCGGGTCCCGCAAAGCGCCTTCTGGCGGACGCAGCGCTCCTGAAGTCGCCCGGGGGGAAGGGTCCGGCCCTTGACCGCGGTCTCCTCCCCTCCCCTCGGAGCGCCACACTTCCCTCCCGCTGCCCCAGACACTGCCCCAGGGCCCGTCCTCCTCCCCTGAGGCCCGCTACTTCATCCCCTGCGGGATGGCGGGAGGGGGGAAGCGCCCCTCAGTGCCACGTGCCCGGGCCCCCTCTCCTGGTGGTGAAAGCCCGGGTCCCCGTCGTGGGCGCGCCTCAGGACGCAAGGCCGCGCCGAGGGATCCCGCTCCGTGCGCGCAGCCTGCCCGGGGCCCCGCGGGGCTCTTCTCCCGCTCCCACGCGCCCTCCCTGTCGGCCCCGGACAGCCTCGCACCCCGGGCCCCCGCGCGGGGAGGTCCTCTCGAGTCGCCTTCTAGCCTGGGGAGAGCCGGGGCGCAAACCTGCGGGGGCGCCGGGGGCCAGCCCCCTCCCGCAGTCCCGAGCGCCGAGGCGAATAGCGCGCACAGCCCGGGAAGCCGCGAGGCTCGGAGCCCAGGACTGCCGCGTGCGGCCCGCGGGGTCCCTCTGGCGCCGGGAAGCGGAGGCCGAAGGACGCGCGCACTCCAGGAAGGTTCAGGGCTGAGGAGCCCAAAGAACGCCGGCGGTGGGGCTCCCGGGGGCACGGCTGGGGGACGCGACCGCCGAGAGGGACGGAGGAGACCGGGGTTTCTCAAAAAAAGCTGGCTGCGCCTCGCACCCGCGGGGCGACAGCCCAGCCCCCGCACCCTGCAGCTGCCTGTGGGTCCCTCGGGCTGGGGATCCGCCAGCGCAGCGCCCCGACTTGGGGGGAGGGTCTGGGACGTCAGCTAGGCCGCCCCGACCGCGGCTCTAGCCCGGGCTCGTGCTGTCAGCTGGAGCCCGACCTCGGGATCCTGGCGGCAGCTCGGAACTCTGACCGCCTGGGGCGCGCCAGCGGCTCGGGCCTGTCCAGAGCCCGGAACCGGGCGTCCCAACCCAGACGGGAATCTGGGAGCCAAGCCTCGCGGCGCTGCTACTCAGACAACAGGTGCGGGGTGGGGGGGCGGGGGTGACTATGAGTAAAGTGCCACCGTGTGGGGGGCTCCACACGGGCGACGACTCTGCCGAGGGCGCGGACCCCTCCCCACCTGCCTGCCATGGGCGGAGAAGTGGGCCGAGCTGGGGCTGATGGAGTCCAGAAAGCCCAACGCGCGCACGGACACAGACGGCTCAGCGCCTCCCCCGGGGCTGCAGGGAGCGTCCAGCCCCGGCGGCGCCGTCTGCCCGGAATCGGACCGGCTCCGCTGGCAGGAAAGGCTCGATCCGAGAAGTGCCCGCCCGCCCTGCCGGCTCAGGGCGGGGAGCGGTGCTGCCATTCCCCCGGGACCTAGCCGGGTGCCCAAAGCCCCGGGTCTGTAGGAGGGAGGCAGGAGAGCCAGGAATGAGGTCGTGGAGTAGTCCTCAGACCCAGGGTGTAGACCGGCATTTCAGCCCCACACGGGCATCCAAGCACCGTGCGGCAGCCCCGCGACCCCCTCTCTGGACTCAGCGGCGATGCGAGGCTCCGCTCCCCAGCGCTCCTCACCCGGTACACGAGTGTAGACGATTTGAGTCCTTGGGGACCCGGTCCGGCCTTGAACGCCCCCTGCCCGGGCCCCAAGGGTGTTCTGTGAGGCCAAGCGGGCTGAACTGAATTCTGTCTCCCCAGCCGGCCGCGGCCTCCCACCCGCCCGCAGCCCCGTCGGGAATTTGGGGACATCATGCAGGTGGCCCATCCTATAGTCCCAGCCCGCCCCCCCCCTCCGCGGCTCTCGGAGCCTTCGGGGAAGCGAGGCCGGCTCGGCGGGGGCGGGGGGGGGGGGAAGAGACCGGAGGAGGCGGCCCCCACGCGCGCCCGAACGACCCCCGCCCGGCGCAGCGGGCCGGGCAGCGGACAATTAAAGCGGGATTCCTCCCCCGCTGACGTCGGCAGCGCCGAGGCCCCTCCCGCGGCGGCATAAAAGGCGCGGGCTCCGCAGCGCGGGTGGCAGTGAGGGCCAGGCAGCGCGGCGGTGCGGACTGCGCGGCCGAGCAGCGCGGCGCCCAGAGCGCGGGCCGCCCGCCGAGCCCCGCCAAGCCGAGTCCCAAGAGCCGGACCGGAGCGCCGGTCCCAGCGCCCGCAGCCATGCCGGCCGGCCGCGCCGCGCGCACCTGTGCGCTGCTCGCCCTTTGCCTCCTGGGCAGCGCGGCCCAGGATTTCGGGCCGACGCGCTTCATCTGCACTTCGGTGCCGGTGGACGCCGACATGTGCGCCGCGTCCGTGGCCGCCGGCGGCGCCGAGGAGCTCCGGAGCAACGTGCTGCAGCTCCGCGAGACCGTGCTGCAGCAGAAGGAGACCATCCTGAGCCAGAAGGAGACCATTCGCGAGCTGACCACCAAGCTGGGCCGCTGCGAGAGCCAGAGCACGCTGGACGCGGGCGCCGGCGAGGCCCGGGCCGGCGGTGGCCGCAAGCAGTCCGGCTCGGGCAAGAACACCATGGGCGACCTGTCCCGGACGCCGGCCGCCGAGACGCTCAGCCAACTCGGGCAAACTTTGCAGTCGCTCAAAACCCGCCTGGAGAACCTCGAGGTCCGCGCGCGCACCGCGGTTCCCCCTCCGGCTCGTGCGCCCCTCTGCCCTACCCCACCCCCACTCCCGACCCGGCCCCACACCCCCCCCCTCTCCTCGGCCGGGCGCTGAAGCCCCACCGGGGCTGCCCGGAGCCTGCGGGGCCCCGCAGACGGCCATTCGTCCGAGCTCCCCGCCAGGCCGCCCCCGCATTCGCCCTGAGGGGACCGCGCCGCGGGCCTCCCGGCACGGTCCCCGCTCCGCGCCTAACCGTATGGTTTTCCCCCGCCCTTGCACCCCCGCAGCAGTACAGCCGGCTCAATTCCTCCAGCCAGACCAACAGCCTCAAGGATCTGCTGCAGAGCAAGATCGATGACCTGGAGAGGCAGGTGCTGTCTCGGGTGAACACTCTGGAGGAGGGCAAGGGTGGCCCCAAGAACGACTCGGAGGAGAGGGTCAAGATCGAGAGCGCCCTGACCTCCCTGCACCAGCGGATCAGCGAGCTGGAGAAAGGTAATGGGGGGGGGGCGTCGCTGCCTGCCAGGCTCCCTGGGCCAGTGGGACCCTGCCTCACTCCAGGCTTCCTGAATAGCTCCGCTTCAGGCTGTAAAAGCCTGAAGCTCCTCCACCCCTCCAGCCCCTTCCCGCTGCCTGAATCCCTGCCCTGGGTTTTGGGGTTTCCAGTCGGTGTTTCTGATAGGCCTGGGGCCCCCTGGGCTGGAAACATATGGAGGGAGGGGAAGCAGAGTCAGGAAGGGATTGATTGGTGTCGGCTGCACCCCCCAACACACACACACACACACACACACACACACACACTGGAAGGATTTTTCCAAGTCTGATATGTTTAATCTTCAGGAAGTTTGCGCTGTAGCTGCGCTGCTGCCAGTCCCTCCCTGGTAAGAAAGACTTGGCTCTAGCCGGTCCCCATCCCCAGCAGGGAACGGGGTGCAGGCTGGGGATGGTCCATTTTCTCCCACCTCCAGGGCACCCCTGCTGTCCTCTGGGGATCCCCGGGTTACCCCCTTCAGGTGAGCCCCCTCCCTGTGGTTTTATTTTCTGAATGACTCAAGTCCTGGCATCTTGCATGTCCTGTGGTTCCTGGGTCACCAACTCTGGCCAGCCCCACCTGCACCCTGGGGCTCACAGATGAGTTGGGCTCAGCCTTGAAGTCACAGAAATCAAACAAGGTTGTAAAAGGGGGGTGGTCCTGGGCTTGGAGCAGGGCCACGTGACCCTTCTTGGACCACAGAATGTGCCGGATGGATTTAAACAGTGCCATCTTAAGGCGCGTTATGTAACTGAAAAACAGATCAGGGGAAGGGACGGAGGAGGGAGGGGGGAGGAAAGGAGGGGAGATGCGGGGGGATGAAGAACAGCCCCTAGAAAGGTCGGGGGCTGGATCTGCTCCAAGGCGTGCCCGGGGGCAGGGGCGAGAGTACAAGCCCAAGATGGGTGGGGGGAGCACTCGGGGGGCCAGGCCTGCTGTTCCCTGATACCTGAATGGATCGGGGTTGCTGGCCCAGCAGGATGCCTTCCAGAAATAATTCTTGGCCTGGGGGCCTGTTTCCTCCCAGACTCCCCGGCAAGCCCCAGGCACACCCAGAAGCTTGCAAGTGTGTGTCTTCCTGGTTCTGGGCCTGGTGCCTGTGCCCACTGCTGGGTTGGAATGTTTTGCCTGGAGTCAGTCACACCATAGCCGGGGCCACAGCTGCAGTGCGTGTGGGCTGAGAGGGGGCAGACAAGCGTTCGCGGAGACATCTCTGGCAGGCAGGGAGCTGGTGGCTGTTGTGTAAAGGGAGGCTGTCAGGCCAGGAGCCCGATTTTTCAGGAAACACAGAGGAAGCTCTCCCTGAGAATGAGTGACATAGTCCTCAAAGCAGTCACCTTGGGGGGGGGGCCTGGCTCCCGGGATGACTCCCCACTCCCTGCCTCCTGCCCTCTCAGCAGGGTTGCTAGAAGAGCCTCAGAAGAACGTCTTTCCCGCCTGTGGGGTAGATAGGATTCTGGAAATAGCTAGAGTCCTCAGGGCTCGTTGACTGGGTCAGAAGAGCGACCAGGGACTGCAGCATGTCCCGTCCTCGAGGGGAGTGAGCTGGGCACCGAGAGCCTGCTTGTCTTGGGTGGGAATCCGGGAGGAGTATTTGTGAACTGCATCCAGGAATCAGGTCTGCTAAAGGGGCTGCTCTGGGGGGCAGCTAGCCTCTTTGGGGCTGGAGAGACCTCCTCCCTCTGTGGCCACACCACCAAGGGCCGGTTTATCTGGTGTGGACTGACCGATTCCCTGCCCAGGACCACCACGTTTCCCCCCACCCGCATCCCCACCTCCCCAGGGGCATGATGTGGGAGCCTGAGCAGTGAGGGCAGAGAACGGGGATCAGCTCTTTTGGTCTGGCCCTGTGCCCTGGGCGGGGCAAAGCACTTGACCCTGCTGGGCCTCCCTCTTAGCAGCTATAGAATGGAGATGAGTCTGCTCCTAGACTTCCCAGACCTAGAGGGCGGGTGAGGGGGGAGCAGTCTCTGTCTGGGACAAGTGCTTTGAGGTGCAGATGAGGACTGTGCCCTGTCCTCTCCAGGTCAGAAGGACAACCGTCCCGGAGACAAGTTCCAGCTCACATTCCCGCTGCGAACCAACTACATGTACGCGAAGGTGAAGAAGAGCCTGCCGGAGATGTACGCCTTCACCGTGTGCATGTGGCTCAAGTCCAGCGCCGCCCCTGGAGTGGGCACGCCCTTCTCCTATGCCGTGCCGGGCCAGGCGAACGAGCTGGTTCTCATCGAGTGGGGCAACAATCCCATGGAGATCCTCATCAACGACAAGGTAGAGCCCCCAGCCCTCTGAACTCACAGGACAGCATAGTGAGGCCCCCCCGGCCCCCCTCCCCCCGACCGTGGGGCAGAGCTGCAGCTATAGACACTGCCGTGCCCCCCCAGCAGAAGGGCCCCGTCAGGCAGGCCTGGGGGGAAGACGGGGAGGAGCAGCGCCCTTGCCCACACTTCCTGAACAGTGTGAAGCTGGAACTTTCCCAGACAGAGGCCTCCCGGGGTGGGGGATGGCACAGGATGACCCAGAGGGTGCTGCATCCCTCCAATCGAAGCCCGGCTCCTCCTCCCCCAGCTTGCCTCCAAACTGGCTTTGTTCCTTGTATGTGGAGGACCGCAGATGCTCTAGGGGTGGTGAGGGTACCCGCAGAGATTCTTCCAGAGTCCACAACTATCCTGCTCAACCCCTCACCCCTGGGAGGAGGCCAGATGCACATGAGCCCCTGGAGGGTGCAGCCTCTTCCCTCCCAGGAGCCTTTTCCGAAGCTGTGGAAGGAGCTGCTGGCCTTCCAACTCCCCAGTCTGTGGCAGCGTCGGTAGTGAATATCTCAAACCCAGGCTGGGAATTGGAATCCAGGCCCCTGCTGTTGAGGCCTGGAGCAGAAAGGGTGGTTCCTTTCTGGGCCCCATGTCCCCAGGTTAAAGGGTGTGTGGGTCCTTTGTCTGCCGCACCATCCACCCCCCGCCCCCCGCAGAATGCTAGAGAGGAAGGCGAGTCCGAGGCCAGAGGCTGGCCTGAGCCTTAAAAGGCCTGGTGTGTGGCGCCTGGTGTCCGCATCTCTGCAGAGGCTGTGCGGGTGTAGACCCCGCGGACCTGGCAATGTCGTGCTGGAGGGGAGGAGAGAGGCCCGGACTGCAGCAGTGAGCTGAGACCCCAGCGGTGGGGCTCTCCCTCCCAGGGCCGGTTCTGTAGACCAGCAGAGTGGGAGGCGGGTGAGGAGGGGTGAGGACAGGGTACATTCAGATCGATCTTAGGGGCCCCTTGACAAATCGTCACATTTCCTGTGTGACTCCATGATCCATCGATGGCGAGGGCTGGTGGACAGGGAGGTCACAGGGGCAGTTGCTGAGAGAATTCAGTGATGGCTCTTGGTATTTATTTTAAACGTTGTGATCAGAGGAGTAACGGTTGACGCGGTGAGTGACGATCACTGATCTGCGTTGTGCCCCTGTACCCGTCACGCCGTGTGTCCTCTCCTTCCCAGGTGGCCAAGCTGCCCTTTGTGATCAATGATGGCCAGTGGCACCATATCTGCATCACCTGGACTACTCGGGACGGGGTCTGGGAAGCCTACCAGGATGGCACCCAGGGTGGCAATGGCGAGAACCTGGCACCCTATCACCCCATCAAGCCGCAGGGGGTGCTGGTGCTGGGCCAGGAGCAGGTACTGGCCTGGGGGCCGGCGGGGGTGCTGGCTGCAGGGGGAGGAGCCCCAGTACCAGAGGAAGGAGAACCAGGGTGGGTGACCAGGGACAAGGGGGAGCGAGGAGGGAGCGGGTCGGAGGGGCAAGTGGACCCCCCACTCCCAGAAGGAGCCAAGGGAAGCAGGTTCTGCAGCGGTTTGGGCTAGGTCCCGGCACAAGTGGGAGTGGGCTTTGGTCCCAATGTTCGGGGGCTGCGATGACACTTTCTTTGGCACGGGAAGGCCAATCTGCCTTTAGCGATGCATAATTTATTTCCTGGAAGTGGTTTGGCTCCCACTGGGCACCCGGAGGGAAGCGTAGGTGGGAGGGTCCCAGACCTTCTGCTCCCGTTGGGCTCGGCAAAGAGTGACATCTGAGCTCGTCTCGGCAGGGAGAGTAGCAGTGGCTCCCCCAAGGCCCGGCTCCTATGGTGGTGCATAACCCCAGCTGACCCCCTCACTGGCCGAGGGACAGGCCGCACGTCAGGCAGGGTCCAGGTGTCCCCGGGAGATGCTCTGCATCCAGGACAGAGGTGGCCGGTAGTGGTCCTCTCTCTGGGCTCCTCATGGGAGGGGGACCAGTGCACAGCTGAAGCCCAGAGACAGGACACAAAAGGGTACTTCGAGGTGGATGTGAGAGCCCCTGATGGGGCAGACACGGACACGTGCCCCCTCCGAGAGACCCCCACCCCTGCAGCCCCCTCCACCCTCACCCTCTGCTTTTCTCTGAAGGACACCCTGGGTGGCGGGTTCGACGCCACCCAAGCATTCGTGGGTGAGCTGGCCCACTTCAACATCTGGGACCGCAAGCTGACTCCCGGGGAGGTGTACAGCCTGGCCACCTGCAGCACCAAGGCCCTTTCTGGCAACGTCATTGCCTGGGCCGAGTCCCACATCGAGATCTACGGGGGAGCCACCAAGTGGACATTCGAAGCCTGTCGCCAGATCAACTGAGGCTTCTGCCTCCGAGCCTCCCGCCCCTCGGGCCTGCCAGCCCACCTCCCCCCTGCTTGTGCGGTGATGACCCTCTCGTGTCTTCTTCTCTCCCTCCCCCCAGGAGTGACTCAAGGCCCTCACCCGCGCACGCGCACGCACATGCACACAGCCCAGGCCGCCCTCCTGCCCAGGAGGAGGCCCCGCTTTCTGGAGGAGTCCACGCCTGGTCTCAGGCCTGCCCCGCTCATGCTCGCTCTCGGCTGCGGCTGCGACATGGGGCCGGGCAGACGTAGGTGAGGATGTGTGTGGGGGGGCGAGTGTGTGTCTCTGGGAGGGAGGCGCTTTCTTTCAGAATGAGCTGTCTCCTTTCCTTCTTCCTCCGTGGTGTTGGGAAATCTTGTGACTGGTCAAATAGCTGTACTTGCCAACTCTGTGAGCTGCCCGCAGGCCTCGGGGCTGCGCGGCTTCCTCCGCACGCGCGTCTGTCTTTGCAAACCTTTTCCAGAGCCACCTCTCTCTCTACCGGGAAAATAAATGTCTTGTAGCAGTTGGTTCGAGGCCAGGGGGCCTCTCCACAGAGAATTTCTCTTTCGTAGTAGGAGCGGATTCTCTCCGACTGTGCCCTGGGGTGGCACCTTGTGCTCTCCGGTGGTGAGACAGGGAGAGGCTGCTGAGGGGCAGGGGGGTGCGGCTGGCCTCAGGAAGAGGGCAGTCCCCGCCCAGTGCCCAGGCAGCACCCCTGCGGGTGGCGTCTGAGGACGGTGCTGGGCCTGGGAGGCTGGTTTGCATGCCCAGCTCTCTGGCTTTGGCCCAGGACCAGGTCTCCAGGCCACAGTCTTGCACCCTTTCGAGGGTGGGCTCCATCCCTCCCTTTCAGCTGCCCGCTGGTACCCCTGAGGGGGGGGTGTCCCCCACAGCCCAGGAAGCCAGGCTTTCCCGGCCCCTCCCCTTTGAACTCTGCAGTGGAGACCAGGGGCATCCGTGGGTCAGCTCAACAGCGGACCTTTTAGACAAGGTTACCCACATTCTGACTGAGACCCAGCCAGTTAGGACCAGTGACACTGAAACTGGACCAGTGGATGAGAAGGTCTGAGCTAATTTTGACAGCCATATTCCTCCCATGCTCCCAGGCCCAGGTTGGCTGGCCGTGGTGAGTCCTCCACGGGGGCGGGCCCTCGGAAGGCCTCCCACGCAGAACTCCCCGGCCAGTGCTGGGGCCTGAAACCCACTCCCCCTTCTTTACAGGGCTCCAGTCCTGCAGCAGCCGCCAACCTGTCACCAGCTGGTGACACTGAGACACGACCAGTGTCCAGAACCTTGAACTTTATTTTCCCCCCATGAAAAGCACCCATACATTTCCTTCTAGTCCTTCCGAGGCAAGGGGAAATGTGTGTGTGTGTGCGTGCGTGCGCGCGTGTGCATGTGTGTTTCTGTGTGTTTCTGTGTGTTGAGAGAGAGAGAGACGAAGACGGGCCATGCCCCAGGTGGGCTCCCAGCTCTGTCGTAGCATCTGGGGGTCACACGTCTTGAGGGCACCCTGGACTCTGTCACCAGGAGTCTAATTAGCAAAAGGCTGGCAGTCTTTCTAGAAATTCTACCGCACTGCCTGGCTCATCTACAGCTGCAGACATTTCTTTGGGAGGAGCAGGTGTCCCTGTCTTCTGTTCTTCCAGGGGCACCTGTCTCCTCACACACAGGTCCCTGTTGCGTCGGAAACCTAGTGCATCTGTGTGCGTCTGTGTTGGTGTCTCCGTGTTAGTGTCCACGTGGGTGTGTGCACAGTACCCGGTCACCGTCCTGTGACGCATCGCTCTTGCTTAGAGGGTGCGGTTCGGGCGCCGCGCTGTGTGTTGTGGTTCAACAGTGGCTTTTTCTGAGACCCTTGTGCTTCGTCAGAGCCCGTCGGGTTGTGGCATCTTTGGATCTGCAGGGATCTTCTCTGTTTGCATGTTCCTCGGGGTGGCGCGTCCCTTGCTCCCTCGGTCTGATGTGTGCCCCCTGCCTGCATGAACTTCTGGTTCTGTGTTGTGTGCCTAGTGCCACCCATCGTCCTGTAACCATCCGCGTCGCTACTAAAAATGGCTGGAGAAGCAAGCCAAGGGTGTCGGGGGAGGTCAAGGGAGGGATCAGTTTCCCCCTTCCTCCTCCCGACTCCGCAAACACACCAAGAAGTATTTTTCACATGTAGGTTGACAAGGAGCCTAAACAAAGCCCATGATTGGGACGGAGCGAGAGCTTGGAATCACCCCTCTAGACCAGGTCGGCCCCACCCCTCACTTCAGCCCCCTCGCGGCTGTTGCTTAGGCGAGGCCCACAGGGGGCTGGGTGCTCTCCTGCCAGCACCCCACACCAGCCCCTGCCGATCTAGCGGACCCCAGACCACCCTCCGCCCCCAGGCGGCCGTGGTGGGAGCTGTCCGTTCAGGACCACAAGCCATCCTCTGCCCTAGCTAGAGAGGGGCAGAGCATACCCCAGACGCTTATGCCTCTGTCCCTTTGGCCTCCTGCCCTGTTCACCTTCCTGGCCCTCCCCTGATGCCCCCACGGTGCCAGGGACAGAAGCTGATATTCGGCTCCCTTCCCGCCCCTAGCTGGAGCCTGTGCCAAGCCCTTGACTCCCTCACTGTGTAAACACTTGGCACTCTGCCGGCCCCAAGGAAGGTTGATGACACAGCCACAAATCTAATCCACGTAGTCTCCCATCTCCTCCTTAATCTGATCGACGCTCCCTCTTGCACTGAATAACACATGCCTATCTCAGGTAAGCCGTTTTATAAAATAAGAAGACACACAGCACTGCCGAGGCGGTGTTAGCTCTTGCTGAGCTGGTGTCCCACAGCTCCCTGGGTGTCCGAGGTGGGGGAGCAGCTGACGGAGGCTCTCCGGGCCCTCGGGGCTTAGATCCCACTGGAATCGTAAGCCTTCTTGCTTTTGATAACACAGTATTATTTCTCTTACTGTAGAAGAAAAAGTTTATTACCAAACAAGAGTATTTTTATGAAAGAAAAGGACAAACCTATAAAATTAAATCAACCTCTATCTCCCTGGAAAATACTTTCAGGCTCCGCCAAAACGTAGGACTGAAAGCGTGTATTTTGGAAGAAAGAGATACATTTTGTATGCTTTCTTTTCCTTTTGTAGATTCCCAGTTTATTTTCTAAGACTGCAAAGATCACTCTGTCACCAGCCCTGGGACCTGAGACCAAGGGGGTGTCTTGTGGGCATGAGGTTCAGTCATTCCAATGAGCTCCAAAGAGGGGCCACCTGTACTCAAAGGTGTTGGGGGCCAGGATGTGAATTGGCCATTTATGGTGGACCCTTTGCCTCGGAGCTGACTTAAGTCAAGGACTTGATGATCAGTTCCAATCCTGGTAGAAAGAACTAGGGTTATGTGTTGGTAACACAAAGAGGATAATATCCTTTATAATCTCACGACAACCAAAATGTGGCTTGACACAGCCGTGGTTTCATCTCTTAAAACACAGTGTGTAAATTTATCCAACTAATGATGGGAAATGTGTCACTTCCATGCACAGTGGACTTAAGTGCAATTTGTTGAAGGGGAATAAGTCATTGAGGAGAAAAAAAAAAAAGCCAAATACTTAGAGTCCAAATTTTTTTTTTTTTACTAAAAAAAAAAAAAAAAAAAATCCAACAAAGCAAACCCCCTCCGGTTGATATTGTTATAATGTATATATTGTATAATATGAAAGAGAATCGATGTATCTTACTTTTTCATTATTTGCTAACCAAAGCTGTACATTTTTCATATGATCTGCAGCCTTTTGGGTATCAAATGGGTCAAAACCATGGGACCTGCCACCTCCCATCAGCAATTCTGGAAATGCACTATTTCTACTGGTATTGCTTTTTTTTTCATTTTCTTGCTGAAACGACATGAATTGTTGAGTTTATTTTTACACAGTAAAGAGTGAAGAAAGACGGTGGTCTGAGTGGAGTGTCTCTTTTCTCAAGCTTGCCAATGCCACCCCGACCTGCCTCGGGGCGGGGGGGTGCCCAGGGACCCCCCACCTGCAGGGCCGTGTAAGCCTCGTGTCTGCGTGGCACTGTGCCCTCAGCAGTCCCACAACCCCTTGCTGACACTGGGACACTGAGGGGGGGCTCCCCAGTTCACAGGTGCAGCTGACATGGAGGCAGAGAGAGGGAAAGGGACGCCCCAGTGGGGTGAGGCCACACTGGGCTTGGGGTGCAGAGTAACCCCCTCTTCCTCGCCTCCCCTGCAGTCCCGCTCCCTCCTGGGTGAAGGCACTGTCCTACCACACAGTCAGGCAGGGCCCCAGGCCGCCTGGCCTTGTTCTTCCCAAACAACCCTGTTCTGTTTTTTGCCACGTCACCGCTGACTGCATCGTGGCCAACGCCTGGTTACCTCCCCTCTTCTGGGGTTCTCAGGCCCCTTCCCTGCACTCAAGTATGAGCATTCCCAGATCCACATAACCAGGGGAATGGGGTGATGCAGGAACCCTGAACGCTGGCCAGAGCTTCCCTGCCCCTCGCGAGCCAAGCTAGACTCTGGATGGACCTAGAACTTGTGGGCTGCTCCAAGGGACAAAGTGGTCAAGAACCAAAGTAGCCCACCTGGCTGATGGGTCTCCCCACATCCCAACACACACACACACAACCCGGCAGCTTCGCCGAAGGGCGGAGCCCCCCTGGCTGCTCGCTGGCACGGACGCACCGACTGCAGATGGGCCTATACGCTCGGCCTTGCCCACAGACTTCCTGTCCATGCAGTGGCGTTCTCTGTCCGGGACTCAGGAGCTGGGGTTTGCTGGGCTGTGAGCAAGCCACCTGTTGCCCGGGGTGGTTGAGAGGGAGGAGGTTAGGCGTCTGCAGGGCAACAGGCAGGCAGGCGGTTCTCCCTGTTGCCCCTGCGGGAGGAGCCTGTGTCCTCCAGAGTGGCCTTTGGCAGGTGGCGTCCACCAGCAGACATCACTCGTGGCCCCTGTGGTCAGGCCCAGGGGTGTCCCCAGTGCCGGCAGCCCCAGCCCACATGCCACC